TCCACGTATGCAACAAACATGACACATAACCCTTGTGACTTATCTTCCATAGAGTTGCCAATATGTCAAAGGTGAACTGTCAAAACCCAAAATCATGAACACCAAAGTCTTCACAATAATCCAAAAACCTCCAATCATTACTGTTGATTCCTTCCGGTGACCATATCGGAAAATCTGCACCGCCGCCGGAAATATTGTTTTCATATAATGTTCCACCAACTCCATAGTTACTATCACTCCACGAGGTCTCAGCTAAAGTAGTTTGGTCGGACCATAAGTAACTAAACAAATCTTCATCATTATAAATATTATCATTACTCATCGAACTGTTTTGATCCGTAACTGTGCTGCTGCTTTCGTCTTCTGTAGTCGTGCCACTTGTCTCTACGTTTTTGGTCTTGCTATGTTTTGGTTCCATTGAGATATCATCACGAGGATTCGACGAAGTGTTTTTGGGATTATCGTTATGGTTAGGTTCTTGGTTTAGAGGTTTATGGGTCATAGGGTCGATTCCCATCTTAAGAAGTTTCTTCTTGATATGAGTATTCCAATGGTTTTTTATTTCGTTGTCTGTTCTTCCGGGTAATCTTGAAGCAATCTTAGACCACCTATATGATTAAAAAAACAATCATCGTGAGAATAATACAATATTTTATTAAATGTTGGTGGAGATGTTAAAATCTTGGAATATAAACACAAGAAAGTTGTCAATATAAGTTAACATTATTTCTATAGGAAGAGAAGGACGTTACTTTGTCTTGAAGTTTATTTCAAAGAAAAAGATAAATGCGAAACGAAAAATTAGTTCTTCTATATGATTCAACTATTTTGACCATCAGATTTGGAAATATTTTAGTAACTTTAGTTGGCATAATCTAACACAACACATAAATACACAAAACATGTTGGATAAATTTCCAATAATATTACACATGAAATTGACTTTATGTTCACCACTGATTAATATACACTATTCAAACCTCTGTTTATCTTAATTAGTGCCTAGTTTTTGTTACACCGTAGAATTTGAATGGGAAATTAGGTTGAATAACCATAAAAAAAACTATAATTAAAATTTTAACAAAATAACCTAGATCTAATGGTTGATGTTTTGCCACATATAGTAATTTTGGCTACTTTTTAATTATAATTTTTTTGTTGGTTAGTTAGCAAATTGTCCCAATTTGAATTTAAACAAAGAAAATTTTAAGCTTCCGATCAAATTAAATTAATCATCAAATAAGAAATAATATTTTTGTGGAATTAACATATGATTAGTGATTAAGCTTACTTGTTGCCGAGAAGAGCATGAAGATCGATGACAAGTTGTTCTTCATCATGAGAGAGAAGACCTCTCTTTAAGTCAGGCCGGAGATAGTTAGTCCACCGGAGACGGCAGCTCTTCCCGCAGCGACGGAGACCGGCGAGCTTCGGTAACGCCCGCCAGCAACATTGGCCGTTGGTAAGGATGAAGTTTATGAGTTTTTTGTCTTCCTCCGCCGTCCACGGCCCTTTCTTCACCCCTAGCTTGTCACAACATGGTTGCCTCCCCAT